TATATGAATTTTGCCAGTGCTACACCATGATGTTTGGCACACCGTGATGCAGTGCCCTTTGACCTCCAAACATGGTGTGTATTATGGCATCCAAAGAGTACAATTTTGGTCTCATCTGACCAGACTATATTCTCCCAGTATTTCACAGGCTTGTCTAAATGTTGTGCAGCAAACTTTAAACGAACATGCTTTTTCTTCAGCAATGGAGTCTTGCGTGGTGAGCGTGTATATAGGCCACGGCAGTTGAGTGCATTACTTATTGTTTTCTTAGAAACAATTGTACATGCTAATTCCAGGTCTTTCTGAAGTTCTCCACAAGTGGTCCTTGGCTCTTGGACAACTCTTCTGATAATTCTTTTCACTCCTCTGTCAGAAATCTTGCGAGGAGCACCTGGTCGTGGCCGGTTTATGGAAAAATAATGTTCTTACATGGATTGTTACCGACAGCTGGTGAAAATGTCATGTCAACAGCACCTTTAGAAATATATTTACTGAGAAAAATGGTGACGTGTTCAATACTTATTTTACCCGCTGTATGTGTATGTATAACAATTTATGTGTAATTCACACTGAAAAATGAAATTCATATTTTAATGCAAACATTACAAAAGCTGTGAAATTCATTTGAATTCTACTTCTGGTAACACTTTAGTATAGGGACCAGTGCTCACTATTAACTAGTTGCATATTAGCATGCCTGTTATTAACATATTGTCTGTTTATTAGTACTTATAAAGCACATGACCATATTCTACATCCCTAATCCTACCCAATACCTAAACTTAACAACTACCTTACTAACTATTAATAAGCAGCAAATTAGGAGTTTACTAAGGCAAAAGTCATAGTTAACGTTTTGTTAGTGAGAATTGAACCTTGAAAAATGAACCGTGACACTACTTCCTAGTTCGGGATATAATTAGAAATGTAAAAAGCATTCTCAGTTCATTTCTGAATGATCCACAACCCTGTTCCTCAGTAAATATAGTCACCTGTATTTCCTGTATTCATTTAGCCGCATCCTACAGGAGACACACTGTGTTTTTCAGACAGCTGCTGTTTCTCAGGATCTGCATGGCTTTAATTACAGGCTGATGTTGGTTGGTTCCAGCCGTGTGTTAAATTTAGAAGAAATCCTGCCACCAGTCCCCATAGTAACCAGCTAGTCTGTTTCTATCAAGCTGACTGACAGCTCAAGTGGCTTAAGGGTTTAAAATTCGGTGTCCGTTTTCAAAGGATCAAGCTCTAATCGTGGTTTGTTTTTAAGTTATAGTATAGTCCGCAGTACTTTTGTGTCTTTGAGCTGTAGTTCACTCCAGGGCGTCCGCCTGGCGGATTTAGTGTACTTTTAAAAAAGCTTGTTGTCAGCACATTGCGTCTGAGAAATCAAAGTAATTGATTTGAGTTAGACACGGGCTGTTTATTAAAAAGGTTACTGCGTCATAAATGCCAGCTCAAGGGGCTCAAGTTATTGAGGCAATTATTTTCAGAGTTACTGATATTGAATCAAAAATACTGTATGTTGGAAAAGGAAATTGCATTGAGGGATTTAGATTAGAGGTTCTCTATATGTGGTTATTAAAGATTTTATGTCATAGAGATGATACAGACATTCAACAGATGTAGTTTATAGTCATTCCAAAGCCATATGACTGGAGATCTCAATATTTGAAAGCACCATAAAAATATCATAAAAGTCCATAACTTCCATGCTATATTCCAAGTCTTCTGTTTTTTTTTTCTCATTATGCAGGAAGATACTGAGACGCCCATGCAAGTTTATGCTGATCTGCATCCAGAAAAGCGGGACTGGAAGAATCAGTTACTCAGCATGCTGGAGCAGGGAGGAGAATATGACTTGGGCCCGTACAAAAGGATCATTTTGGACTGGACCAGAGGACAGCGCAACAGACACCCGGTGAGGAAGATTCAGAAGATACATCTGCATATACACTAGCAAATTTCATTAGAAGCATTCTGGGATGCTTTAAAAACTATATTGAAAACATTGATAAATATATTAAGGGTTACAACATTCTCTCATTTTGTCAAAGTAATTGGTTTGTTAGTGTGTAATGTAATATCAAACCATGCTGTAAATGGAGCATGTTACTCTCTCTATTGGTCTTAGTCTCGGGTTGCTCTCTGATTAAGAATTAAGATATTAACCTTGCTATGATCCTCTTGTCAGACTGGGTTAATTACAAACGACCTCACTGACTGACCTGAGAGAGACATGCACAGCCCGCTAAGCCGTATAAATTAGACTTACCATATTGTTTTTTATTTAAAATAATGGCAGATTTGCCAAACGCTTCTAGCTTACTTCATACTGCATGGTGCAGACAATATACCACCAGGGTTTCTGCAGGTCTTAAAAAGTTCTTAAAGGGACAGTTCATTCAAAAATAAAAATTCTGTCATCATTTACTCACCCTCAAGTTGTTTCAAGCCTGTATGAGTTTCTTTCTTCTGTTGAACACAAAAGAAGATATTTTGAAGAATGTGGGTAACCTAACAGTTGCTGGTAGTCATTGTATTCCATAGTATGGAAAAAAATATATATACTATTGAAGTCAATGGCTATCAGAAACTGTTACCAACATTCTTTAAAATATCTTCTTTTGTATTCAGCAGAAGAAAGAGACTCATTAAGGTTTGGAACAACAGTGAGTAAATTATGACAAATATTAATTTTTGGGTGAAATGTAGGTGCTGAAAGTCTTAAATAAAGGCATGGCATTAAATGTTGCATGCACTGCAAAAAAAAAAAAATATATATATATATATATATTAATTAAAAAATATATATTGTTTTGCTAATTAAAATATGTTAACATCTTTAAATCAAGATAAATTTACTTAAATGTACTTTTTAATAATTCAATTATTTTTAATAAAGTGAATGTAAAAGTGGAGATCTGTTGAAAGTTGTAATTACAAACAATGATTTATATTAGTGTTGCTAATATAACTCATTGTGTGCTCCCTAGACATTTACATTTAGACAACACATTGACGTGTTGTTCCTTTCGATTTATTATTATTTTTTTCTTGGTCTTAAAAAGACACAAAACCTGCAGAAACCCTGACTACCTCCAATTTTTCAAAGTAGTGCACTGTTAAAAATAAATGTTCTTAATTTGCATCTACGGCTCCATGAAGAAACTTTGACATCCATGGAACCTTTCCATTGCATAAAAGAAAAGTGGAAAAATGTTCTTCAGCTTACTAAGTGTAAGCCTTTTTTAGGAATTGTTCACTGAAAGGTTCTTTAGGGAACCAAAAATGGTTCTTCTGTGGCATCGCTCTTTTGCAATTTTTATTTTTAAGAGTGGATGCATTATGCGACAATACCTGAATAAATGCAGTTTGCTCTTTCATATACTAAATAGCTAAACAGCCCAAACTCGCATCATGGTTGAGGCAGATGATTTGAAGCGTCTCAGAGCCGCAGTGTTAACACTCTTCAAGGAGGTCAACCTTCAAATCTCTCATTACTAAGCAGGGCTGAGCCTGGTCAGTACCTGGATGGGAGACCTCCTGGGAAAACTAGGTTGCTGCTGGAAGAGGTGTTAGTGAGGCCAGCAGAGGGTGCTCACCCTGTGGTCTGTGTGGGTCCTAACGCCCCAGTGTAGTGACGGGGACACTATACTGTCAACAAGCACCTGCCTAATTTATAATGCATTCCTTTCTCAGAGTCCTTGTTTTTCTTAGGAGTAATTTGTGTGTAACTCAATATAAGTAAATACTGTTAGTGAAGTATGCTCATCTCTCTTTCTCTCATTACAAACAACTCCACTGACCTGCATTTGACACGTGCATAAACACAAATGAATGTTTTTGGAAACTTTGAATGTGGTTGTTTCTAAAGTGTTATAACAAGCTATGTTTTCTTCTGGTCTTTCTCTCTCAGCACGGTATCTGGCCGGGTGAGGCGGTGTTGATGATGCTGGATGACGTGGAGCTGCAGTGGAAGCGGGGTCACCAGTCGCACCTGCAGTCTGCTGTGGAGCTGCTCATAGGGGTCGTGCTTGGGGAACATCTGGACAAGGTGTGATGCCTCTGAAAACACATACAACATTCAAAGACTTTCCATAAATTAAAAATGAGCACATTTCATTTTTCATTGACCTAATAACCAGCAGCACTGACATTAAGCACAATTGTGTTTTTGTAGGAAGTCCTTCTATGACACCCAGAAGCGTGCACACATCTACACATACAGCAAGAGGTTCACAGAGAAGCTTTACCCGGTGTTTGGGACGGTGGAGATGGTCCGCGAGATGGTGATCAGGCCTGCAGACCTAAGGGAGCGATGTCTCTGTAAGGGACAATGTCTGTTCTGCTAATAATGAACGCACAATCCTTATGCACACGAATGTGAAAAAATTACACACACCATAAAATAACAGTAATTGATCAATCCTTACAAAAAATAGAAGCATAGAGAGAATTTGACATTTTTTTTTAAAGTAGCTAAAGCTGTGAAATCTGCACCACTAGCATCAAGGAAATGTTAAAATACTGTTGTTAAACAATCTGACTGAACAAACAGAGAGTCCTGCCCAAGACTTGTCACAGAGAGAGCTGCAGTGATGACTTATTTCTGTAGGCCAATCTGGAAAGTTTGGAACCCCATAGGATTTTTCCACTGGCTTTTGTACTGATGGTTACTCAAAGTTTTGGGATTTTTACAGAAAATAAGATCTGTGACCAAAAAGTTCATATTCACAAATGAACACAACTTTTGAAGCCTAAATACAGTCACCAGAAGTAAAAAGCTAAATGTAGCCTATAAACTAACTACACCATGGTTGCATGACTTCAACGTCACAAATGTCCTTCTTTCAGTATTTATTTAAAATATTTTTTCCCTGAAAGTTTGAGAATAGTTTGAAAGACCATGATTATAAAACCCAGTGAGGCTGCGAAAGCAGACATGTGAGAAGATGAGTTTACCTGTTCGGCGTGATATTTAACTTCTATAGTCCCATTTAGCCACTTGTTAGCAACCGCCTTTTTCAAGACAAGTAAAATATTTTTTAAATCATGTGAAGTATTAATGATGTATTTTATGTTGTGGAATTAAACATGAAAATATCTGTCTGTTAACCACAGACCTTATTTCAGGTATTTAACCAAAAACCTTTTTAAGAAAACCCATTGACCTCAGGACTGAAAGTATTATAATGCTAAAAACTCATTTCCGGGGTTTTGGCCTACAAAAATACATCATCCCTGCAGCGCACTACTGGTTGAACTAATAGGTGTGTTTAACTTCATGCAGCACTGCATAGACTTCGACGCATATTGCCGCTAATGCACACTAAACTGTTTTTATAACCATTCAAAAATATCTTAAGTATTATATTTTGATGTGTTTATCAGTAAAACTGATAAAAAAAATATAGACCCCATTTTATTGGTATTTTTCCGAAATATTATAGATAGAACGTTTTATACAGGCACTAAAATACTAAAGTGATTAAAACTAAATAAACTAAAATCTAAAACATTTTTTAAAAAACGCAAAAAATACAAAAACTTCAAAATCAAATGAAAACCGAAATATAAAAATAAAATCTTAATTCAGAATATTTAAAAAAAAAACTATAATAGTATATCAATGGTACTAAGATATTACTGAGTTGAAGTTGAACACACCTATTGTTGCTGTGTGAGACTGGTCAGCATGCAATGTTTTCACTTTTTCAGGAAATCAACCTACAAATGAAATATTTGTCTATGCATATTAATCTGGGATATAATTGATTTTAAGAAATGTAATTCTTGTGCAACTACTAAAACATATTCTTTAAAAAAATATACTAAGGGCTTGTTTGCTAAAACGTACTGATGCATGAGTGCTGGGAATGTGTGTGCTTCTGTCACATTTATTTCTGCAATTAGTTTAGCTCGAACTGCTTATTGTACAGATTCCATTCAGACTGTGCAGATCATCTGTTTTTTGTTTTTTTAGAAATTAAACAAAATCTACTCACTCAAATTTCATAGAATGTTCAATCACGTTAATCAGCGATTATGTCATTATATTTCAATATAATGTACAATATTTCCATACTGAATTGTGATTGATTTTTTTCTTACATCTATTTACCCATATAATGTTCATTTACATTGTTTTTAAGTGCATGGTCTAAAATAAAATTATAATTAGCCAAATCCAAGGTCTAAAACCGAAATATTATTTTGCTAATCTGAATACACTATTTTCCCCTTAAATCTAGTTTTAGCAAGTGTTAAATAGAATCACATTCAACTCCATGATTTTTTGTTTGTCAGTAACAAAGCAAAGCATATAGAGGGCAGTGTCAGTACATACTCCTCCAATCAATGTAAAGCATTTCAATAGGTCATTTCACAGTGTGCTAAAAACATTCAGTTGCACCTAAATCTTTTTCTAATAAACAAAGCTCAACACACAAGGAGTCGACTGTGGTAGGATGATTTATTGGTGCGGTGAACTAATATGCAGTGAGACGTTTTGCATACTAAATACTACGGCTTGAATATGATGGTGAAATGCAATTTTAATATAAAACTCTATTTTTTCCCATGTCAAAAGTACCATACAAATTATTAAAATGCAGTAAAAATGTAATTCAGGGGTACATAGGTGTGAGATTGGTCATCTTTTCCAAATTCCCAGCAGTGTACAAACCTGGCAGATTTTATGTCATCTGAAATATAGCCACAGGCCTGAAGTTACAACAGCACATCTTGCAACCAGGCAGTAAAAAACAAACCTCAGTAACATATTTACAGTCCTAAGAATCGAGTCCATATGTGTATGTGCTCATATGTTGCAGCATTTTATGCAAACAAGTAAAAAAAACTGATTTAGGAGGAAAATGACTGAGTTAATTCAAGAGACATGGCAAATACATATAGAAAACCTACATGCTGAAATAACTTGATACATCTTGAAAGCAACATCAATGATATAAACAACATGATATGAAACCTGCCAAATTCAAACCTCGTCAAAACGAACGCAATCTAGCTCAAACGAGCAACAGAACTGTATTCCACGCCACATGCGTCAATAACATTTCTCGCAAACACTACATGAAACACGGATTGATGCCAAAAGTTAACAAATACCTGTTTGGAAGCGATAAGATAACACTAAAAAGTCTTTACATTCAACAAAACATCAAGGCTTGAAGACTTTGGTCTTTAGGAGCAATAATCCGAGGAATCCAAGCACTCAGCTGTTCTCATGCTCACATAAACACCACATGTTGTGCACATTGGTCTGTGAACGTTTCTAGTTTGACTTTAGCGTGTTTTGGTACTGCTGCTCTGCCATGTGATTTCAGCTGAAGGCAAAAGGAAGTTAAATTAGGCCTCGTAGTACTGTCTATCCACCTTCTTAGTGACGGTGCTGCTGGACATCACTCCTCTCTGCACCATCTCCACCTGCCGCGTGATGGTGCCGCCCGACTCGGTGATCTGCCTGCTCGACATCATCATCATCCCGTCTAGAAAAAACACACATCAGACACCGATACAATGAGCGAAACATTACAACAAAGTTTAGAATTTAATGAATTGAAATAAAAATTTTCATTTCATTCCAATTTATTTCGATCAACTGCTTAAAGTTTATAATATATTTTTATAACATTATCATACACCTAACATTTCTGGAAATACCATACAGTATGTTGTATGATTGATATACCACCAATATAAATGTGCATTTAATTTAATAAATTATATTAAATACTATATGTGACCCTGGAGCACAAAACCAGTCATAGGTAGCACAGGTATATTTGTAGCAATAGCCAAAATACATTGTATGGGTCAAAATTATCGATTTTTCTTTTATGCCAAAAATCCTTAGGATATTAAGTAAAGATCATGTTCCAAGAAGATATTTTGTAAATTTCCTACTGTAAATATATTAAAACTTAATTTTTGATTAGTAATATGCATTGCTAAGGACTTCATTTGGACAACTTTAAAGGCGATTTTCTCAATATTTTGAGTTTTTTTGCACCCTCAGATTCCAGATTTTCAAATAGTTGTATCTCGGCCAAATATTGTCCTGTCCTAACAAACCATACATCAATGGAAAGCTTATTTATTCAGTGTATTCATGATGTATAAATCTCAATATCGAAAAATTTACACGAGACTGGTTTTGTGATCCAGGGTCACATATAATACTACTTTTTGTTATATTTTATAATAATATTAGGGTAACACTTTAGTATAGGGACCGATTCTTACCAATAACTAGTTGCTTATTAGCATACCTAATATTATCATATTGGCTGTTTATTAGTATTATAAAGCACATATTCTGCATGACCATATTCTACATCCCTAATCCTACCCAATACCTAAACTTAACAACTACTGTACTAACTATTAATAGGCAGCAAATTAGGAGTTTATTGAGGCAAAAGTCGTAGTTAATGGTTTGTTAATAGCAAGAATTGGACCTTAAAATAAAGTGTGACCAATATTATTCATATTAGGTCTATTTCACTAAATGATTCAACATAAATAATAATCAATATGTTTACATTTTTAATTTTTGCTTTCTGAAAACAATGTGGTGAACATTGTGGTATTGTGAAATTAAAACCCGTGTCAATTAAAATAAAAGACTTAATTCAACTTAATTTTATAGATTTTTTATTTGATAAAAATATGTATTTTACATATCACAAAATAAGCATAATTACCTAAAAGGAATTAATTTTGTTTTATAGGTTTATATTAAATATTATAAAATATCTAGTTATTTTTTTTGTTATATTTAATAAGAATAGTAGTAAATCTTAATTTCCCACCGTGGTCTAATTTACTCCAAAGAGTCAAACATAAATATTAATAAATCGGTTCAAATGTTCATTTCAATGTTTTGTTTTTAATTTATTTTTATGTGTGGTGTTTATTTGTTAGTATTCAACTTAAATTATTGAAATTTGTTTTATTTTAGAAAAAAATAATAATTTGAGAAATTCTACATATCACAAAATAAATAAGCATAATTAGTCAAAATGGATTATGTAATTATGATTTGTTGATTAAAACATCATGTGAGGCCAACTCAACTGAAATTGTAACTCATAAATCGAAAAGGAACAAACTCTTCAATAGTGAATGTAGTGTGTATTATTACCTGGAGACACAAAGGGTTCTGAGAACATGGTGTGTGAAGTCATCTCTGTTGGTAGGTTGAACACCTCTCTCTTTGTGAGTGAATGACTGCTGTACTGTGACATGGAGCCTGAGGAGAACCAGAAAAGAAGCTTCAACTAACAAAATGTATTACCAGTGATTTTCCTTAAAGACGACATAAGATATAATGCAATGTATTTCGGAGTTAAACAAAATATTCAGCAGAAAGTTGTACAGGGCCAGACTTGATTTTATCCATTGCGATTGAATTGAACCATAGTATTTTATATTACTGAAACATTAAACATATACAATACATAGTGAGATTCATATCATAAAAAGGCAGACACACTATCATATCACTCTCTCCGTCACATTGTTGTAACGTCCAGCATACCTCCATCTTGGGATTCGATGGTGATGATGCCTTCTCGCTCCGGTCCAAAGCCCTGCGTGGTCTGGGCTTGAACTTTGAATTTGTATGGCATGTTTTCTTTCAGGTCAGACACAGTCAAAGAAGTTGCAGCATTGCCATTCACCTGGAAGGAGCGAAGATCTCCTGCAAGGACACCAAACAGAGCTTTAACAAGGAAGCTAAAGAACAGGGGTTGTTTTTGATTATTGCAGTAGTGACTGCTGTGGATATTTATGTGGATTCAAAGTTCAAGTCAAATAGAAAATAAAGAGGGTGGTGTCTGACCTCCACCGTGCAGCTGTTCACAGGTAACCACGTAGCCCAGGATGTCCCCGTTGGGTTTGCGAGGTTTCTCCCAGCTCAGCTGCAGCGTGTCTGGACTCAAAGCTGTGAAGATCAAAGGTCCTGGAGCGCTGGGAGTGCTGAGTGTGAATGGAGATCCTGAATGACAGCACACACACACATACATACATGTTTTAGTAAATGACAGTGGCGGCTCGTCGGGGGAGGCAGGGGAGGCACAGCTTCCCCATAATTTTGAGGTGAAAATGGGAGGAGGACGATTTAATGTTAATAAAATTCACAATTCATTTCAGTTCATGTCTCAGAATGTGTTTTTTTTTTTTGTAATTTCACAGTTGTAATAAAATAACGTGAAAGCACTGCTTTTCTATCGCGAATGTGCCGAATCTGCTGATGTAATTACAACCGCGAATGGTAGAGAAGGGGAGGGGGAGGCCGGGGGAGAGGTGAGCTCTCGTGCCTCCGTTGGTAACAAAAATTAGCCAATCAGCATCGAGTGTTCACTTTCAGCGCTGAGGAGTGTTGAGAAAAGAACCCTGGCAAGGGAGGCTAGCCTCCTTCTGATATCAACCAATCATCAAAGAGACGTAAATTACGTGATATTAGTTTGAACGTCTCCCGCTGCGCTGATAATGTACCAAGTACTTATGATGAGTAGCGATATTGAATATTTGATTGCCAACAGATTTACCAAGCTGTCATTCAAACAGTATATATACAAATTTAGGGAAAACAGCCTAAGCTGGATATAGGCTACAGCAGTCAGCTTAATTAAATGGCGCAACAGGCAGCTCTCTTTTAACACAGACTTTTAAGAAGGAATGGATGTTTGCTTCAAGTGATAGGCCAGGTAAGTGAAATTATATTATCTTGCTGTATGTATGTCGTTTTCTTTACGTTTTCTGACTAAAAGCAACCAAAAAGCCATTTTAAAGTGGTTAAGCAAATTATAATAATAATAATAGGCAGGGATCCCAGACCAATACAATGTGCCTCCTCTATTTTAAAACCCACGAGCCGCCACTGGTAAATGATACATACACATAAAATAATGTGTTAATATTTAATGATGATTTCAGGATAGTTGCCACTGCCAATGCTGGTATTAACTACTTTGGCCCCTATAGGCACCATAAAAATATCAATTTAAGAATGAAGGCACTCTCACCTGGCACTGGGCTCAGTGGACTCTTGGGGTCGACAGCAGACTCAATGGTGATGACTCCCTCTCTCTCAGGACCCCAGCCCTCTCGACTCTGGGCCTTCACTTTGAAGATGTAGGAATGGTTGGGCAGGAGATCCTGAACCACCACAGAGTTCTGAGCAGGATTGTTCACTTCAATACGCTTTACTTCACCTATACAGGAAACGAAAGACAATCAAAAAATTATTAGACATCAAACAGACATCATCTGTTATTATGCACATCATATATACACAATATATAAAAGTAAACTGTTAAATTATAGTATATAACAATTGTTTATACATACATACACACACATACATGCATACATATATGAAAATAAATTGATAAATATCGATCTAATCACTGAACATACTAAAATAAAGTTAGAATGATGTGTATGACAATAAAAGACACAAAAAAATCTTAAAATTTAAAGCTTCTGTTTTCATTATTTGTTTATACTTCCACGGCAGGGTGGGGTACGGCAGGGTGTGGCGGGAAAGGGTTGGCAGGCAGCCGTCGCATGACGAGAAAACAGCGGGAGAAAAAAGGTGTAGAGAGAAGACAAATGGCATAAGGGTAAGAAAAAGAAGAGTAGGATTGAAGCGAGAGTGAGCCAAGGATTCTTGCCAAAAGCTGCACCTTGCGAGGCATTATATCAAATTCCATTGGCTTTGTGCACGCAGATCTATCAGGCTTAATTTACCCAAGTTGTCCAAAAATCCACCAGACAGGTTTCCCATGACAATAGAATCCCTCACACCATCACCGTCCGTGTAATGCCTGTTCTCAGAACGCTTCCTCAGGATCACTTCCTCTTTGAGAAGTCCGCCATCCCTAAGATCATATCTGTGTGTCGTTGAGCCTCCTGATTGTGACAAAAAACAAAGATTGGTTAATGAGCTATGGAGACAACTGATTCAACAATTTTGTTTTTGAAGCATATGTACTAGTGCTGTCAAATCGATTAGTCACCATTAATCGCATCCAAAATAATGTTTATTTATGAATCATTCTTGGTACATTTTAGTGCTGTCAAATTGATTAATCGCAATTAATCATATTATGTAAATTTTTATTTTGGATGTATGTGTGTGTACTGTGTATATTTATCTGTATATATAAATACACACACACACACATACATATATTAAGAAATATTTACATGTGTCTTTCATTCATATTTATATAGCATTTATATTATATATAATTATAAATATATATTTGATATATTTCTTAAATATATACATGTATGTGTGTGTATTATATATACACAGTACACACACATATATGATGTAAAATTTTATTTTGGATGCGATTAATCGATTTGACAGCACTAATATGTACCAAATCATAGAATGATTCATAAATCTTCACATGAAAATTCTGTCATCATTTACTCACCCTCATGTCATTCCAAACCAATATGAATCTTACTTTCATGAAACACAAAAACAAATGTTCTGAATAATGTTCATGCTGCTCTTTTCCAAAATAAAGGTAGACCAGAAAGAAAATACAAAATGAATGGCAAAAAAAAAGTGCCATAAAACTATCATAAAAGTGGTCCAAATGACACTATCATCCAAGTCTTCTGAAGCCATATAATTGCTTTGTGTGAACAACACTTTCGCTTTTTTTTTTTTTTACTTTAGATCATCTGTGAATGACAACTTGCACAACCGTTCAAAAGTTCGGAATCTGTAAGATTTTTAAAATATTTTTTCAAATACATCTCTGATGCCCAGGCATAATTTATTTGGTAATACAATAAAAACAGTAATATTGTGAAATTGTATTACATTTAAAACAAATGTTTTCTTTTTTAATATATTTTATTTCAAGTTTAAGTTCAAGTTCTTGAACTGTTTTAATAGATTTTAAAATCTAGTTTTATCAATTTTATCTAATTTTGATAAATTTTATGCATCCATGCTGAATAAAAGTATTAATTTCTTTTGAAAAAAAAATACTTGAAATATAACAATATTTAATGCACATAGACTACTTTCATTATAGTTTTATGGTGTATATTTAGAGCTTGACATTCATTGATCATTCTAGGTACATTATATAGTAAGGCATTTTGTGTTGTGTTCCACAAAAGAAACTAATACAGGTTTGGAATGAAATTAGGATGACTAAATAATGACAAAATTGTCATTTTTAAGTCAGCTACTTTTTTCTCTGATACCTTTGCCGGAAATGTATGTTGTGGTGCTGCTGTGATTGGTCACACCAGGACGGGGTGTGGAATGGCTGTACGTGGATGAGGAGGAGCTGACGTTGCGGGAAAGGGAACCGCTTCCTCCTGGGAACAGGAAATTCTGGTCCCACTTTCCATTTACAAACTGATCTGTAAGAACATAGAGAGAAGACGATATCATAAATTAGCACAGCATCATTAGCGCATTAGAATTCACAGTTGAAGTTAGCGCTCCAGAATAGGGCTTTGAACTGCGCCCCGGAGGTGGGAATCACCTCAACAGACCCAAACTGCAGAAAGCCTCTCAGTTCAGACAAAGAAACACTATTTTTAATGGTACCAATGGAATTAGCAGTCTACATGAAGATGCCAATTAGCACTCTGATACTCTTGATGCCAGTTAGCACTCAAGCGACTTTGCTAACACAGCTTTGGGTTGACGTTGGGTGTAGATGGCATGCTGTCGGCCAGGGACAGGTCACCTTGTGGCAGGGTCTGTGCATGACTATCGATGGCATCAGTAGCTGGGCTCAGGCGGCGGGGGATGTTGTCAGCAGGCAGTTTCCAGGACACCTTACGGAGATCCAGGTCCGAACCGACTAGCTGGACATGCTTCCAGCGTGAGCCTTCGGTAATCATGTGGGGAAGCAAGCAAGGCACATGTGTGTGCTCAACTTAATTCACCCAAAATAGAGAATTCTGTTATTAATTACCCTTTTTTCAAACCCCTATGACTTTCTTGAATACAAACACAGCTTTGGGTTGACGTTGGGTGTGGATGGCATGCTGTCTGCCAGGGACAGGTCTTCACCTTGTGGCAGGGTCTGTGCATGACTATCGCTGGCATCTGTGGCCGGGCTCAGGTGGCAGGGGATGTTGTCAGCAGGCAGTTTCCAGGACACCTTACGGAGATCCAGGTCCGAACCGACTAGCTGGACATGCTTCCAGCGTGAGCCTTCGGTAATCATGTGGGGAAGCAAGCAAGGCACATGTGTGTGCTCAACTTAATTCACCCAAAATAGAGAATTCTGTTATTAATTACCCTTTTTTCAAACCCCTATGACTTTCTTGAATACAAAAGGAGATGGTAGGCAAAACTTTGAAAAAGCAAAGTGAATGGGGCAACAAAGCTCCAAAATTTACAAAAAAAATTTTTTTTTTAAATTGCATTTTTGTGAAATGTTAATTTCAAGGTTATTTATATCCAACATGGACCATAATCGTGGTAGTTTTTTTTATGTTTTATGTTATTTTTGAAGCGTCCATCCCCAATCACTGGAAAAGATCAGAATCTCCTTCTGTAAATGTTGACAGAATTTTTATATTTGGGTGAACTGTTCCTTTAATATCTACAGTTAGGCAAAGAAGGAAAGAAGAAAAGGTGGGAAGCTGATGTCTTCTGAGCCCATCCATGATGCTAGCAACCTTTAGCAAGGCCGAGGAAACAGTCTGATCATTCTTGCCAAATGAGAGCCGTAGGAACCCATAGGTTACATTCCTGAACGCTGCACAAACAATAAGTTCAACTTCCACAAAGAGCCCAGTCACCCAGTTTTACAAAGCCATAAGGAAAGAAAACCACATTATTCCATGGCAAAGGCAAGTAGTTGTGGGGTCTTCAGGGGACTAGAAAGAGCCTTTCGATTTCAACAGGAGCTGCATACGAATGATGTAAGGACATCATCCTGTTACGCCGCAGATGAAGGCAGACCATGCCCATGTCTGACTGCTATTGACCAGTAGTTTCTACAGGTCAACGTAGCACGAAAAAGCTTTCAAATGCTTCAAACAATTCCATCTACATGTTCAGGCATGCGATACAGACAAGCATTGGCATGTTTCGAAAAACATAAGTCTTCCCTACTATCCCTGATGAAAAGACTGCCATTGTCAGGATGCTAGTGTGCTGGTGTCCCCTTTAACAAGAGTTGCATGGCCAACCAGTTTACCCATGCTGGTTGAAATTTATCCTGGTAATTTCAGCAAGGATGTGCAGAAAACACACTACTGTTCAAGTTTGGGTCCAGCCAGATTTTTGCTTAACAAGGCTACATCAGAAATCAGAAATACAGTGAAACAGTCAAATGATTTAAAATAACTTTTTATTTCAATATACTTTAAAATGTAATTTATTCCTGTGATGGTAAAGCTCAATTTTTAGCAGCCATTACTCCAGTCTTTAGTGTCACATGATCCTTCAGAAATCATTCTAAGATACTGATTTGGTACTCAAGAAACATTTCTTTTAATATCAGTGTTGATTGAAAACAGTTGTGCTGCTTAATATGTGTTGCAACAGTGCACCCCATCACAAGATACCCACCTTCAGTCAGATCTGTGACGCTAGGCCTCTGGCTACCCGTTGGGGATCGCAGTACTTCATTACTGTACATCAGATAGCTATCATATTCATCGCCAGCTTCTGCGTCCACAATGGGAATGTCAGGAATGATGGGAACTGTAGGAGTGATATAAACCAGAACAAATAAAACAATCAATTCACAGTCAGCACAATGGTTTATTAAACAATTGCTCGGTCTGAACTGGAGTTCAATTCCATCCCAGATGCTTACTTGACATGGGTCTGGTAGGTTGTGAAGCCAGGTTGATTGTGGCATCTCTGTACGGGCCCCAGCCCACCTTATTGCGAGCACGCACTTTGTAACAGTAGGTCTGAGAAGGCTGCAGGTTCTCGATGAGCAGCATGCGCTTTTTGGGGTTGTCAATCATCACCTTCTTAGAAGGTCCTATAGGCTCTAAACAGAGAAAGAAATATGTGCAATCAGAGGAGCACTAAATACTACAATACTGACATACAGATGGTCTAAAAAGTTTTTTAAGACTCCTACTCTTGTCCTCGTCGATGGGTGTGTAGATAACCTCATATGAAGTAATGACACCATTGGTCTCTGCTGGCTCCGCCCAGCTGACCTGAGTGACAGTGGGGCTGATGACATTGAAAGCCAGGCGACCAGGTTCGCCAGGTACTAGAGGGGTAAAACAATGAAGATGGCCATGTTTGTAAGACAGAAACTTCATGGGTATACTAGAAAAAGCCAAGTAAGAAAATGATGACATGCATGCTTCCTAAAAATCTGAAAAAAAGCAAATAAAATTTTAAATGAGAACAAACACAAAGTCCAGAGACTGACTTACCATCCTCTAGAGTCTGGCATTGGATGACATCGCTGTAATTGCCCTCTCCGAGTACATTGTAGCCACATACACGCATCTCATAGTCGCAGTATGGGTAGAGATTAGTCAGCTCGGCTTGAGGAGTCTTCACATCCAGCACCTGAGCATCAGCCTCAGGGTCTCCATAAATCCAGTACTTCACCTAGAAAAACAGCAAATTACAGCTCAAGTCAAATATTTAACAGCATTCTCAACTGCCTTTTTAGCTAAACTACTGTTTATTGGAATATTAATTTCATTAAATATTGCAACTCTACAACTTTACAAGCAGAAATGGTCTGGGACTAAAAAACAGCACAAGATCTATCCTAATATGACACAACCCACAGTGTATAATCTTTTACTAGCCTACAAACACTGACTGGGGTCAGTTTTTTTTACAGACAAGCATTGGCATGTTTCGAAAAACATAAGTCTTCCCTACTATCCCTGATGAAAAGACTGCCATTGTCAGGATGCTAGTGTGCTGGTGTCCCCTTTAACAAGAGTTGCATGGCCAACCAGTTTACCCATGCTGGTTGAAATTTATCCTGGTAATTTCAGCAAGGATGTGCAGAAAACACACTACTGTTCAAGTTTGGGTCCAGCCAGATTTTTGCTTAACAAGGCTACATCAGAAATCAGAAATACAGTGAAACAGTCAAATGATTTAAAATAACTTTTTATTTCAATATACTTTAAAATGTAATTTATTCCTGTGATGGTAAAGCTCAATTTTTAGCAGCCATTACTCCAGTCTTTAGTGTCACATGATCCTTCAGAAATCATTCTAAGATACTGATTTGGTACTCAAGAAACATTTCTTTTAATATCAGTGTTGATTGAAAACAGTTGTGCTGCTTAATATTATTGTGGAAACTGTGATACACTTTTTTCAGGATATTTGGATCAAAAGAAAGTTTCGAAGAATGGCATTTGAAATTGAAATCTTTTGTAATATTATAGAACCCTTTACTGTCGCTTTTGACCAATTTAATGGATCTTTGCTTAATTAAAATATTAATTTCTTTCTTACTGAGCCCAAACATTTGAACAATGGTGAACATTGACTTCAATGTGTTGCAACAGTGCACCACATCACAAAAGATACCCACCTTCAGTCAGATCTGTGACGCTAGGCCTCTGGCTACCCGTTGGGGATCGCAGTACTTCATTACTGTACATCAGATAGCTATCATATTCATCGCCAGCTTCTGCGTCCACAATGGGAATGTCAGGAATGATGGGAACTGTAGGAGTGATATAAACCAGAACAAATAAAACAATCAATTCACAGTCAGCACAATGGTTTATTAAACAATTGCTCGGTCTGAACTGGAGTTCAATTCCATCCCAGATGCTTACTTGACATGGGTCTGGTAGGTTGTGAAGCCAGGTTGATTGTGGCATCTCTGTACGGGCCCCAGCCCACCTTATTGCGAGCACGCACTTTGTAACAGTAGGTCTGAGAAGGCTGCAGGTTCTCGATGAGCAGCATGCGCTTTTTGGGGTTGTCAATCATCACCTTCTTAGAAGGTCCTATAGGCTCTAAACAGAGAAAGAAATATGTGCAATCAGAGGAGCACTAAATACTACAATACTGACATACAGATGGTCTAAAAAGTTTTTTAAGACTCCTACTCTTGTCCTCGTCGATGGGTGTGTAGATAACCTCATATGAAGTAATGACACCATTGGTCTCTGCTGGCTCCGCCCAGCTGACCTGAGTGACAGTGGGGCTGATGACATTGAAAGCCAGGCGACCAGGTTCGCCAGGTACTAGAGGGGTAAAACAATGAAGATGGCCATGTTTGTAAGACAGAAACTTCATGGGTATACTAGAAAAAGCCAAGTAAGAAAATGATGACATGCATGCTTCCTAAAAATCTGAAAAAAAGCAAATAAAATTTTAAATGAGAACAAACACAAAGTCCAGAGACTGACTTACCATCCTCTAGAGTCTGGCATTGGATGACATCGCTGTAATTGCCCTCTCCGAGTACATTGTAGCCACATACACGCATCTCATAGTCGCAGTATGGGTAGAGATTAGTCAGCTCGGCTTGAGGAGTCTTCACATCCAGCACCTGAGCATCTTTTTCCTCCATCTCTCTTTTTTCCACCTCTGCTTTCCATCAGTTCCCGTGCAGTCTCTTTCTTTTCCTCTTCTTTACCTCTTTCTTTCACATCACTTTCACCTATCTCCTCCTCTTCCTCAATCTCTTCCGACTGCTCCATCTCCTCCTCTTCATCATCCTCTTCGCTGATACTTTCAGCTCTGTCTCGCCACTCCATATTGCTTCTTCTTTCACCATCCTCAGCTCCATCCCCCCCCCCCCCCCCCCCCCCACCCCACTATTTTAGGTCCTTATCAAGTCAAATACATTACAGACAAGGCATGGCTTAGGAGTGATTATGTATTACTCGACTCATCGACTAATACAGACAGTGTCTCAAGTACTTTTACAAGGCAGGAACAGCCGTCAGTGTCCACATGGTCAAGGCTCTGCGTTCAGTCTGGAAAGGCTGATAGCTGGGGTGTTTCTATCAAATAGCACCTCTTGGATGTCTTTGATGGATTCTGTAATGACTATGTGTTCAGGAAGTGTGAAAATCACACTTCTACCCCCCGCTTCTCCTCACCCCACAAGGTTTCCCCATTAACCTGCGGTTCAGAGCTAAAACACATGCTCACAGACCATCACCAAATCACCAGACAAACATTTTCTGGCTTTCTGCCTGGGAATGTGGCTTATGTAAATATACGCATATGTGCCAGAGAACTAGTAGTAAAGGTGTAGAGAAAGCTGCTCACAGGGGTTACGCCATTAACAAAGTGCGTGTAAAAGTGAACGCCCCCCTTAAGCAGCTCTCTCGGCTTTCTGATGTGCAAACATCATGTGTCCAGCGTATGAGTTCAGTACTGTTTAACGTAGACAGATTTTTTCATGCTCTGAGACGCATCAGCTCTTTAAATGAATAATCTCAGTCATTTTATATGTACCCTGCATTCATTTTCAGACGTCCAGAGACTCGACCCTTCTTATTTTATCTATGCTAGTGCATCATCTATTTATACACACTTCGGAAGCCGCAGTGCCTGAGATCAAACGGCGCCGATGTGTCAAGAGTGAGTGATCTGATTGAGAATTCTCTTTAAACTGCAGCGATCGCTCAGAGTATTGGGCCGCTCGCGTATGAACTCCAGCTCTGATGTGCTCAGGAATGCAAGCCAAATGTCCCAGTGTGCTTCCTACTGATTGCTTATTGATTGTCTTGAAAGTGGACGGCAGCTCAGATGGAGAAACACTAGAGGCTCTACTGCTGGATTCCGGTGATAAATCTCGTAACCAATATAAGATTAGCTCGTGAATGTAGAGCTTTTATCTTGTGAGAGGTCTTTGTGATGGCAGTCACATAGTGGCAGAGATGTGTATGATCATGTGCTCTGTCTAGTGGGGAAGAGCAGGCATGTAGTGCTGCTTTGGTTCCATGGTAGTAAATTTAGAGTCCAAATGTAACAGAGAAAATGCAATAGCTTGTCATTCTGTGCAAATGAAACCAATGCTTTGGGTTTCCCCAAATGTCAGGGCGGCCCTTGTGAAAACCTCTACCTGAGAAGGTACCTTGCAAACCATTGAGAAGAATTGGGCTGCTTGATGGATCAGACTTATTAAAGCTCCATAACTGGCCCACCTGCATTATTAGAGCATCAAAGGGTTTCCATGAAATGTGCTTTTTTTCTCTCTTTTAATTATTTAGCTGGATAACGAGCGGTTGCTTTTTTTCCTAACTCAACTGTGTTATGGCAGAAATGGTTGTGGCACTTTGCCAGTAGTAGAGTTAGCTCTTTAAACCCACATCACAGTCAGGTTTTTAGTGGTCTGCATGAACTGTAATGAGCGCTTTATGTTTTGCTCATTCAGGGACCGTGTTCATTAGAGCATAATCGACTGTGCTTGATGACTTGCATACATTCCTTTAAGGTTTAGATTATAGAGAAGCAGTAGTTTTTTTAAGACCATTTAAAAGAATACAACGACCTGATTGACAACACAAATACTGCAAAAACAGTGTTCCATTTTACAGTGTATCAATGGAAAATGTTTGCATAATGCAATTTTGGGTACTGTAAATTAAAATGGCTGGTTGCATTTTTTTTTTTTTTTTTTTTAATGAATAATTATAGCTAATTCAGCAAGGACATTAACTTGATCAAAAGTGAGAGTAAAGACGTATAATGTTACAAAAGATTTCTATTTCAAATAAATGCTGTTCTTTTGACCTTTCTATTCATCAAAGGATCCTGGAAAAACTGTATCACAGTTTCCACAAAAATATTAGGCAGCACAACTGTTTTCGAGATTGATAATAATAAGATGAATTCTTTAGCAGCAGATCAGCATATTAGAATGATTTCTTAAGGATCATGTAAAACTGAAAGCTGCTGAAAATCCTGCTTTGCCATCATAGGAAAACATTACATTTTAAAATATATTAAACCAGAAAACAGTTTTTACTGTATTTTTGATCAAATAAATGAGCCTTGATGAACCTAAGCGACTTAAAAAAAATTTCAAAATCATTCATTTTATCATTTAATTCATATATATATATATATATATATATACATAGAAGTGAAGAAGGTTAAATGCAAAGCACAAATTCCAAGAATGGGTCACCATACTTGGCTACACGTGACTCCACCTCACTTCACCTCTAAAAACAGCACAATTAAATTTATTTCATACACTATAAATGAAAAAAAAAAAAATCTACAAATAAAATCACACTGTGACTTATAAAGCCTAAATTTTCTCCTGTCACATTCCTGGCATTTGCAACTACAAATTTAAGTAAACACCATCTCATATTAGTTAACGCTGTGTAAATATTGAAACTTTTACAGATTTTCACATCTCTATCTAATCAGTAACAGGATTAGTGGTCAGAGACAGATGTTTTGAATAATTGCTGTTGCTTAACTTGGCGTCTTTGTTTGAGTACTTTTTTTTTTGTTTAGTTTTTTTTACTAAACTTTACAGAGGTACACAAAAAAATAACAGACTATACACACTAAATAATACAAAAACGAATGCAATTTTGTAGTATGTTATATCAGATATCATGTTACGTGACCTACCTTGTAACCATTGGCATTTGCTCTGGGGTTCCAGTTTAGACGGATGTTTTTAGGGCCGGTAGCAACAGCTTTGATGTTGGTTGGGGAGTAGAGGCGTCCTCCAGGAGATGCGGCTGAATTATTAACATGTTCCATTTTCTGGAAATCCATTTTCCCATCCCCTACAATCACAATGCAAATTTTAAGTAACACTCAACATCTGCAGATTAATGGAGGGTTCAGTTTTTCCCATAAAACATGAAATAAAGTAAAATACAATCAATATTTTTGTATTTATAGTTGGTTGCAAACATGAACCCCAAAACTGATTCTAAACCCTCTGTTTTCTCACCTCTACCATCGATGACGTTCACCACTGAGGTTTTCCTCTCTCCAATGACTGCATTGTTGCTTGGGTCAAACAGTTCCAGTTGGAAGGTCTCAGGTATGATGGGAGATGGATACGAACAAGGATCAATGACAACGTTCTTTTCCGTCTCGCCAGGAGCAAATTTGAGAGGACTGGAGAGGTCGAAGCGTGAGGCTTTGTTTGTGCGCCAGTACACACTGGTCGGACCCTCCTGGTTTCGAGTGCGTACCACAGGGATGGAGTAAAGCGGGTCAGATGTATTGTAAGTTTGAGTACTCTTCTTAAACATCACGACACTGGGTTCTATGAGGACATATGAAACATTTCAAATTTAGGTTAAGGAATAACAACACATTATACTTTTAAATCTGTAAGGCTTATATATACCTGGTTTATCTGCGATGGTGATGGTGGTGCGTGGGTAACGGCCCAGTTTAGCACCTTGCCGTGGGTTACTCAGATCCATTACAAACTGTTTGACCTGTTTGTCCTCCAGCAGTCCATCTCCCTCCCCAAGCTCCAAGAGTTTCACTGGGACTGTCTTCTGCGTTTCGCCTGGTGCATAATTCAAGTCTCCATCAGCTGAGATATAGTCCTACGAAGACAAGAGAAAAATAAGCACACAATCAAACAAATAAGAATGACTTCAGGGTGTCTTTTCCCTGCATATTCATATCATTTAATATGCATGATATGCATATCCATATCACTTATTTGGCACATTACATCTCTGTTGTGGTCTCATTTTATTAGAGAAAATCTAATCGCTTTAATCAAATGTAAATACAGAACTTGTAAAGTGTATTTTACCTTCTTGTCTTTGGCAGTGAGGTCACGGGTGCAGTATGTGACCTGAGTCCGTCCATCCTCTATGATCTCACGGCTGATCGGGATGTTCGCCACACCATCCTGACGACTGTAGGTGTATGACGGCTGCAGGAAGGTGAAGATGCTCCTAGCTATATGAGAATAAATAAATAAAAAATTAAAGATTTCGCCACTTAAAACCCACTTAAATGCAATATCAGAAAATGCTTGTTTTTAACAATAATCCTAATTTGGCTGAAAAAAAATATGCCAATGGGGTAAGAGAAAACATTCTCTGTAAACAAGTTTTGTCAGATTTGTCTTTTATTATTACCATGTTCCTTAATCACGGTGATGTTGACATGATCTTTGCCGATCTTCGCAATTCCTACTGGAACGTCAACGGCTTGAACAAGCAGCTCTTTCTTTTCATCATCCTCATCTTTGATAAAGAGGGGAACCCGGACATCCACGGACTCCACACCCTCCTGAAACTCCACAGCCCCTGCCGCTTCTACAAGACCGACAAGTATATGGACGCATAAACATTAAACTCACATAACAACCCCTAAACATTACAACAGGCAACAGACTGCAATCTAAGTGTAGTTAAAAGTCTGTGGGTTGTGCAGGGTGTCTGTACCTCTGTCTGAGGCTACAGTGTAGTAGCCTGGAACCACCTTCAGATCCCGGAAGTTTCCAGCCTGAACCTGTTTATCTGTCAGTTTCACAATATCTGGGTAACAGGCACGAGGAGCAGATAAAACCGTGTCTACAATCGTGTTGTTCTGTCTGTGGATGCAAATAAGAATTATTATTGTTTCTCTTCAAGTTTTCAGATTTGTAGTCCCTGTACAAATCAGTAAATCTAACAAAGAAATATCCAGTTCATATTTCACCCCATTTATTTGATAAAACACATTGCTAAATATTATTACATTTTAAAATAATAGTATTTGAATACATTTTAAAATGTAATTTATTCCTGTGATGGTGAAGCTGAATTTTCAGCATCCATTGTTCCAGTCTTCAATGTTACATGATCCTTCAGAAATCATTTTAGTATTCTAATAATAAAAAGTTTTGTGAGATTTACCCTAATCAATAAACTCAGACTTAAAGTTACATACAGTATTTGCTACAGTAATACAGTAATGCTAGCTCAGTTGTAGCTACTGTACCTCTTTCCAGAATTTCTTTGTGTCCTGAGGGAGTAGAAAAAGAGTAAAGCAGTACATTCAGACACATGTCAAAATCTGAGACTCATCCAATACTTTAGAAAAAATTGCCCACAAGGCACAGCCAAGCCAATTTTAATGAGTCATTGAGAGCTACTTCTCACCTGAATAGAGTCTTTTGCACTCTCTGTGAGCCAGGGATCTGCAGGAACACATCATTGAGCTGTTTATGATAAAACAAAGAGACATTAGCAGTCAGGCATGACGGTTCATGTGGGAGAAGTTGTTTCTTGTTTTTTATTGGGTGGGGTGAGGTGGGGGGTGCATCACACATTTATAAGCACTTACGTTGTCCTCTACTTCTCGCCTGAGCATGTCTGTGTCTCGAGCCTCAGGGTTGGACAGAGTATCTGAATATTGCCGGTTCAGACGAAGAGAGACAGGGTACTGGACTATAAAGAAAATACAGAGAGAAAGAATATGAATACAAGCTAAGCAAGCATGAAAAAAATGCCTGTGTGATAAAAAAAAAGACATGTTACCAAAAAATTTAAAGGGATCATTCACCCAAAAATTACAATTCTGCCATCATTTACTTTCCTCATGTCGTTCTAAACCTATAATACTTTCTTTCATCTGTGGATGTTTTGGACCCCCCATTGACTTGTACAGAAATATTTTTCAAAACATTTTCTTTCTATTGTGGAACAATAGATAAAAAGGTCACAGGTTTGGAACGACAAGAATTTAGATTTTGGGGTGAACGGTTACTTTAATACTGAACCCTGTTCACACTAGATGACTAGACAACTAGTTGAATCTCAGTCTAGACTCACTGGTCTCTTTGGGGTTGGGTTTGATTTGGTTCTGTGGGTGGTTTGGTCCTCGATGAACATTGTCCGTCACTTTCCAGCGCACAATGTCTGTGCTCTTGGGTGGGCCGGTGCGCACCATTGGGGTGTCCAAATGATCAGTGGTCGACAAAGACTGACGTAGCATGTAGTGGTCTTCTTTGAATCCCACCATACGACCTGCCAATCACAAACACATTAAAAACAAAACAGTAAACCTGTTTCTGCTGAACTCTGTAGAGTGTAACTGAAGTGTAACAGAGTGAAAGATGATTACCTCTGCCACAGCATGGGAGAAGAGCAAGACATGCCTGTTGGGGACAGAGAGCAAACATTAATCAGCTGAGATTTAACATTACTAAACCACATCTTAACCAGTCGCACACAACAAGTTAAGCAGCAAGTAACTTGTGGTTTCAAAGAAAGCAAAAATGCTGTCCAACACAACAGAATCAAAGCCATTTAGAACATATTGGATGTGTATATAGATAACGAGACAAGCAACAAGACATCTTACTTTTTTCAATCATATATCATCGCCTCCAATAAAATCTAGACAGTTCTGTTCCACTTAGCTTTATAATACACATTAAACATGTTCGGACTGACTGTATTTTTGTTCTTTGTGCAGTATTTTCAGTTTCACTGACAACAGAAAATAACTTGACACTGGAAACTCCTGATGTCGTGCCTGGTTATGGGAAGGTGTTTGTGTATTAAATTGTCTTTGGGTGTTTTTTTCCGTTCTCATTTTTCTTTATTCTCTTTTCCTTTCTTTTGTTAGCTATAGTTTACTAAATTTGACAAAACTTCCTTTTCAGGACTTTCTGACATGCTGAAAAAAAAATAATAATAATAATACGAGTTTCACAATTTGAGTTGAATTACTGAAATGAACTTTTCCACGACATTCTAATTTATTGAGATGCACCTGTAGCTATGTCTTTTAATATAAAACTAAGATGTGATGTCGTACCTTCTTCGAGCTCTTCCACCATGATGATTTTAAAGAAACATTCCTCACATTTCCGTCCTTTTCTCTCGCCGGTGTTCCAGGCCTGGCACTGAACGCAGCTCCTTTTGGCTTCACACATGCCCAATTGTTGCTGCATTATGAAAGACGGTTGGAGTTGGTATAAGTATGTAACTAATTAACAGGGAATACAGACAAACGGACACACACACACACACACATCACAGTCATACCTGGAAGTTTGCTTCACAAGTGGGGCTCAGTGGAAGTCCGGAGTGTTCACACTCGCAACGACCGCATTTACACACACCACGACCATTACAGATGCCCTACAAAAGAACACTTTTATTATACACAGAACTGTGTTTTACCTAGACACATTTCAAAATTGAGTTATGAGTGAAATGGGTCTCTTAGACTGTCAACAGTTCTGTGACAGATGGGTTTGCCTCAACTATGCTATGATTTAGAGAAAACATATTGTGAGCACTGATATCAAATCATTTAAAATTAAATGGAAAAACATCAGTTTCAGTGTTGATGTAGTTAATGAATTTTAACTACCAGCATCTAACAGCAAATGACACCAACTACTTAAATTAAATAATATAATAATAACTATTCATATAATACATTATATATAGACTGTTGTGCCCTTTTTTATATTTGTTTTGATTAAACATTTTTGTGCAGTCAGTGGGTCATTACTGCAAAATAAAGCCCAAATACATAAGCCCAAAATATGTAATTTTTAAAAATAAATGTGAATATTGACATACCATAGACTTGGGGACATAGTTTAGGTGACCATACAGTTTAAAGTCAATAAGAGTTTAAATTTTTTAAAAGAAGTCGATTATTCTCTCCAAGGCTGCATTTATTTAATAAAAAAAATAGTAAAACTGTAATATTGTGAAATATTACTATAATTTAAAATAACTGTTTTCTATTTCAATATATTTTTAAAATGCAATTTATTTCTGTAATGCCAAAGCTGAATTTTCAGCAGCCATTACTTCAGTCATTTCAATTGAATGCATCCATGATTAATAAAAGTATTACTTTCTCTAAAAAAAAAAAGTCTTACTGACCCTAAATTTTTGAACAATAGTGTGCTTGCATAGTGAATTTATATTTTTGTGAACATTACCCCTTTGGTGTCAAGACATGATCCGTTGCTGATAGGACATTCACAGGCATCTCCAGTCCATCCCGGTGTACAAACACATCTGCCCATACTGCAGCTTCCACGTTCTGTTGTTGCAAAGATAAAATGTCATAAATCTGGAAACTTAACTACGACAACACATGTCTCCAACTAATACAACATTATCAAATGACTGTATTGCCTGTCTTTCATCTCTCCAACTAAATTCGGGATATATTAAAATCGAAAAATCTTTTCACTAACCATTACAGAGAAATCCACCAAATCTCTGGCACTGAGATTTGTCAAAGTGGCAGAAGGGACCTTCAAACTGGTTTGGGTTATAGCACACACAGGTCCCACACATGCAGTCTCCTCTGCCCGAGCAAGGCTTGGTCTTCCCAGGTTCGATGCACATGGCAGAGTCTGTGGAGGACCCTGCTGAACAGTTACAGAAAGGGCCTAGCCTATGAAAAGGCGGTGCATAGAAAAGAAGCGGGGTTATGGAGTGCAATATAATCGGCACAAACCAAAGATGTCAAAAGTCACAAAAATGAATACTACCATCCATCATAACACTGGCATTTCCCACAGACAAGATCTCCATGGCTGTTACATCGCACTGCATTTTTAACTGGGGTCTGATGTTAAAGTAGAAACAAAAGTGTAAGATTTTAAATGAACACGCAGAACAGGAGAAGGGTTATGAAGAGGTTGCAGACCTCACCTTTTCGCAGTCACATGTCTGACAGAGCACTTCAGCATTGATTCTGAAGGCAGAGCTAAAGGTGGTTGGTTTGACTCTTAAGGTTCCTGCCCGGTCAGCCTGGTTGGCATTACACACATGCTGCTCTCCCACCTGATTAAGAGCCTTCAGACGGACTTTAAATTTACCCTTCACAGAGAGAAAACTTGAATCAGCGTATTTATAACAAGGTTTTTACATTTTAAAGCATAAAATTGTGTTTATAAAATTGCAGTGCATGCAGCTGGTGTGAAAACCAGCATGCATTTTGTTTTCTGTCGGATAAGTAATAAATTACATTAATTATTATTTTTTAATTTATTGAAATATTTGAAGAAATACATTTAAAAAAAAGAATCAATAAAAAATATGTTGGTAAAAACTGAAAAGCACTGCAAATAAATAAATAAAATACATAAATAAATAAATTTGCTTGAGGTACAGGGAAAATGTCAGGGCAAGAAAAAAATCTGAACTACTGGCCCGACCTGGATTATGATTTTACTTTTGAAATCATATTAAGTTATTTAGTTTTTCCTTCATTATTTTCCTTCCTTCTGAAAAAATGGCAAGTGCGTGAGAGACTACATTTGAAGTTGTCTATTAAAAAGAAGTCAAAGGCACTCACAGTTTCACCAGGATTGATTTTGAAATTGCCAAACTCAGAAAACGTGCCGGACTGAGAGAGTATCTTGGCTTCCACTGCTTTTGGTCTGTCTTCTGCACGGATACTGATCTTGGAACGAATATTCTGTTCAAAAAATGATGGTTCAAAAAAAGAGTTGTTTTTTTTTTAAAAAAGAGAAAAAAAAAGAAAAATTTCAGCAATGTATTTGGTATGAAAATAAATTTACCTGAAAAGCTTTATCTAAAATGTTCAAGATGTTAGAGGAATCTTCTTGCAACTGTCCCAGCTCAGCAATAGGGAAGTATTCCGAAAGTTTCTACACACAAAGGAAACCATAATGTGTGTCACAAGGAAGTTTATATCCAGTTTATCAATATAATGTTTATTCATATTGTGGTCTCCGAGAACTTTTAAATGGACATAAAATGCACTTATGTCACTGAGACAATTAAAATACTTTTTAAAGGTATACAAACCTCATAGTAAGAGTAGGAGTGGTTAGTAACTGCGAAGATTGGAATGATGTTATGTTTCACCAGAAGTCGCACTAGGGTAGGTATAGATGGGTAGTCTTGACGAATATCATGTGTGTAATTTCCATCTGGAGTCATGTGGCATTGCTCATCGTTACGATCCAAGATGCCCGCAAGCACATTGGCACCGTCTGCCTCATAATGGAATGCCGATTCGGTGGAGAAGACCAGCAAGTGGGTGCTTTGTTTCCTCCAGCCAATTTGTTCCTGTGAAAATGGGAAACAAGTTATACTGTAGCAGTAAGAAGTAAGTTACTATTACAGTACTGTAAATGCCAAGCATTTTTCACTTCTGTCTACCGAATTAACTTCTTAAAAATAGACTCTCAAGACCTGGCACACAGCAGTCTGTAAGATGGCATCAAAACCCCCCTCGGGGGCATCCAGGTTGCCAGATATGCGCTCTCGCTGGAGCTTCTGTCTAAAGGTGTTTATGTTGTTGGTGAGACTGATGACATTACGGAATGAAAACGGAGGGTCACTGTTGGCCCACGGCACTGCTAATCTGTAAGAGGAAACACATATATAAGGAGCGTGTGCAGACAAAGTCAAACTGCGTGGTGCTGTAACGCTGTATTATTCTTACTTGGATGGCCTCATGTCTGTCTGAGGCTCGGTGACTTTGTCTACAAATTTGCCAAATCCGATGGTGTAATCGTCAGAGAGTTTGCCAACAAGCTGAGCTGCATGAGGTGAAACCAGACAATGAATGAATATTAAAATGTTGCAAAACAAACAATTTTGTACTCACGAGTTTGGCACCCAACCCTAGCTTGCCCAAGGGGTATAATTTTAGAAATTGCATTCAAAAACAGTAAAATAACTAGAACTCAGTAAAAATAACTAGAACTCAGCACTCTGTTGCAGCGTAGCAATACATAAACAATTCTAACAATCAAGACTTTGTAAAAGAGCATAATAGGACCCCTTTAAGGTCTTCATTTTTCATTATTCATTTAGCAGACACTTGTCAATTATGATGGTTGCACCATCCCTTGCAATGTTTGAACTAGGCAGGGCGATATAGCTAAAAAAAATGTAGCCTTTTGGTATAACATATAAAATTATTATTTTATATTGGCTATATACACGCATACACATACATGTTGAGACGAGAACGAACTGTTGAATCAGAGTTCCAGTTTAAACTGAGTCAGATCTAAAATTACCAACTCGAACACCATGTTTTCTACTGTAGTTTATTGCAAAATTCACAATGGTGCTTAATTTTACTCAGCAAATTATCATATATCACCCAGCCCAAATTACAATGGTTACCAGCCCAGATCTAACTACTATGCTACACCACCCTCCTCGCTCACTCACCCAGCTGGTCTCCCATCCTCTTCAGGTTGTCCAGATCATCAGACATAGAGTTGGAGAAGTCCATGAGGATGTAGAGGTCCAGAGGGCCACGGGCTGGTTCAAACACCTCCATCTCCACCTCCTTCTCCTCCCCGGGGAGAAGCGTCATGCTCATTAGCTGAGGGGCCACCTGAGAGTACTTCAGTGACTTATCGATTTGCACATTCTGAAAAAAAGATGACAAAAAGGCACATGAATGCATAAACATACATGACTCCATGACATGGACATGTAACTAAAGTGAGGGACAGATTCTGATAAAACAAACCTCTTCAATTTTCCTACTGCTCTCAATTGTTACCATCCGACTACTACATTTACGGGCCTGTAAGTTTTCCTTCAGGTCACAACGCTCATACTCGAAGAGCTGAAGAGAAATAACAGATAAAAATAAAAGCAATGACACAGCTGTGGTCATACAGAGAGCTACAATAGGTTTTATGACCATACAAATAACCGAACACCATAGGCAGGGCCGGAATAACATAAGGGCTCGGCGGGGCTGAAGCCCCAGGGCCAGCGGATTGAGGGGGCCCGGCGTGATTGGCTGTGGAGGAAAGGAAAAGTAGACCTTGAATTCATCGGCCATCGGGAGCACCCGAGCTTTTCCCGGTGTGCCGACTGCCGAAATCCCACCACACCCCCACATATTAGTGTCTGTGCTATTTCAGTCATTGAGGGGGCCCGGCGTGATTGGCTGTGGAGGAAAGGAAAAGTAGACCTTGAATTCATCGGCCATCGGGAGCACCCGAGCTTTTCCCGGTGTGCCGACTGCCGAAATCCCACCACACCCCCACATATTAGTGTCTGTGCTATATCAGTCCAAAAGATATGAGTGATAAAAATGTCTTTGTACTCATTTACACTAGAGTTGCGGGTATCTTTTAATCACCTCGGCTTTACTGTAGCACATGGGAAACAAACACTGAAAGCCAAGTGATGAAACGGCACTAAATTACCTGATTAAACCACGCAGCGCAACAGAACAGCAAGAGCACAGCGCTGACAAGGACTGTAGCTCGACACTTTTGCAGTTACTGACACTGTAGAAATATGGCATTAATGATATTTATTATTAATGTCACGAAAATTGTTATAGGCTACTACTTATTGCCTTTATTTGACCCAATATTTGATAGGCAATAAGTCACTTTTATAAAGGTTTCTAATACTATAATTAACTCTGGATTCAAGAATTAGCTTTTCATTAGGGCAACTACAAAGGAAAATTTAATAGTTCTAACTTTAATTGCAGAAAAATATGAATTTAATAATTAAGAGCCTGCAATATAATTAGAATATTAATATTGTTAAATGCATTTTAAGAATTCAAAAACATCACCGTAATTTATTAATAAATAATTTATTTGTTTATTCCAATTGCCCTAACCCCAGCAAAACATTTATGGGAAAACATTTAAATAAAATAAATAAATCCGGGCCTGACCATAGGTGTCACTTACGGTGGGGGCCGTAAAATAAAATACAGTACTTGTCGAAAGTTCATTAAGATTTTTCTTTTTTTCTAATTAATACTTTTATTTAGCAATGACACATTAAATTGCTCAAAAGTGACAGTAAAGACAAAAAAAGAGAAGAACAGCTCAAATCACTGTTTAATAAGACGGTTGTGTCATAATTGAATAATGAAATTGTTGTTTAAATGAAGGTTGGACATTGCTAATCAGATTGTAATGGTTTAGATTTGTAAATCTACACTGGTGGTGGTTGAGGAGAGATTGTAAAGCGCTTTGGGTGTACAATACACCATAAAGCGCTATATAAATGCATCCATTCATTCATTCATAAATGAGTTAATACTCTTCTACAGACCTGATCTCTGGATCAACACGTCATAGAGACTAGTTATGGAAACATGTTAAAAACATACATAACATCAATTCATTCTTCAGCATAAGGATCAGGGAGTTTCACCTCATCGGGGCAGTAAGCACATCCTGTGCCAATCCGGATGCATTCTGAGCAGGTTTTTGCCCTGGCAGCAGTACAGTGGTTCACTATGCAACACAAAAAAACATAGTCTTCTTAGTATTATATATTTGGGAAACCTTTGAATTTCAATGCATTAAATAAAACATTTAAACATCAAACAAATGATACCAGAGACTTACTCCAAACTAACTTAACATTTTTCTGAGCCATTTTTGCAATGTCTTTTAACCAACTGTTCTATTCTTGAAAAAGTCCAAATAGCAGCAACCAAATACTTTTTCCGTCATTATTTTTAACAATAAATCATTATCATTTAAACAACCTAATAAACTTCTTTTGCTTGAAAAGTGAATTTCTGCTATCATTATTTAAAATAAATAACACTTGGGCTGATGTTTTATTCAGTGCATTGACATTTATATATTTTGTGTGTGTGTGTGTGTGTGTGTATATACACTGAACAAAATAAACACAACACTTTTGTTTTTGCCCCCATTTTTCATGAGCTGAACTCAAAGATCTAAGACTTTTTCTATGTACACAAAAGGCCTATTTCTCTCAAATATTGTTCACAAATCTGTCTAAATCACACCTGTGAGGTGGATGGATTATCTCGGCAAAGGAGAAGTGCTCACTAACACAGATTTAGACAGATTTGTGAACATTATTTGAGAGAAATAGGCCTTTTGTGTACATAGAAAAAGTCTTAGATCTTTGAGTTCAGCTCATGAAAAATGGGGGCAAAAACAAAAAAGTGTTGCATTTATAATTTTGGTCAGTGTATATAGTGCATTCAGAAAGTATTCAGACCCCCTTCACTTTTTCATTTTTGTTATGTTGCAGCCTGATACTACAATTGTTTAAATACATTTTTTTCCCTCATTAATCTACACTCCGTACCTCATAATGACAAAGTGAAAATTAAAAAAATTCTGTAAATTTATTAAAAAAAATGTAAAAAAAAAAAAATGAAATAAAAATCACATTTACCTAATTATTCAGACCCTTTACTCAGTACTTAGTTGAAGTACCTTTGGCAGCAATTACAGCCTCGAGTCTTTTTGGGTATGACGCAACAAGCTTTGCACACCTGGATTGGGGGATTTTCTGCCATTATTCTTTGCAAAAACCTCTCAAGCTTGGTCAGGTTGGATGGGAATCATCGGTGGACAGTCATTTTCAGGTCTCTCCGGAGATGTTCGATAGGATTAAAGTCAGGGCTCTGGCTGGGCCACTCTAGGACATTCACAGAGTTCTCCCTAAGCCACTCCTGGGTTGCCTTGGCTGTGTGCTTAGGGTCATTGTCATGTTGGAAGGTGAACCTTCGGCCCAGTTTGAGGTCCTGAGCGCTGTGGAACAGGTTTTCATTGAGGATATCTCTGTACTTTGCTCCATTCAGCTTTCCCTCAACCCTGACCAGTCTCCAGCCACTGCCGCTGAAAAACAGCTCCACAGCATGAGGCTGCTACCAGCATACTTTACTTTTGGGATGGTACTCTGCAGGTGATGAGCAGAGCTGGTTTTCTTCAAACATGATGCTTAGAATTGAGGTTCATCAGACCAGATAATCTAGTTTCTCAGAGTCTGAGGATCCTTTAGGTGTTGTTTTGCAAATTCCAAGTGTGTTTTCATGCGTCTTCACTGAGGGGAGGATTGAGTTTGGCCACACTGCCATAAAGCCCAGATCGGTGGAGTGTTGTAGTGATGTTTGTCCTTCTGTAGGTTTCTCCCATCTGCATATGTGATCATGGAGCTCAACTAGAGTGACCATCAGGTTATTGGTCACCATTCTAACCAAAGCCCTTCTCCATCAATTGCTCAGTTTGGCTGGGTGACCAGCTCTTGTAAGAGTTTTGGTTGTGCCAAACTTCTTCCATTTGAGGATTATGGAAGCCACTGTGCTCTTGGGAACCTTCAGTGCAGCATGAATTCTTTTGTAGCCTTCCCAAGATCTGTGTCTCGATACAATCCTGTCTCTGAGCTCTGCAGGGAGTTCCTTTGAACTCATGGCTTGGTTTTTTCTTGGACATGCATTGTCAGCTGTGAGGCCTTTTATAGAGAGGTGTGTGCCTTTCCAAATCATGTCCAATCAATTTAATTTACCACAGGTGAACTTCAATCAAGGTGTAGAAACATCTCAGCAATGATCAAGAGCAATGGGAGGCACCTGAGGTAAATTTCAAGTGCTGCTGAATACCTATGTAAATGTGCTATTCCAGTTTTTTCTTTTTAATAAATTTACAGACATTTCTAAAATTCTGTTTTCACTTTGTCTTTATGAGGTACAGAGTGTAGATTAATGAAAAAATGACTTTAAACAACTGTAGTATCAGACTGCAACATAACAAAATTGAAAAAAGTGAAAGGGGGTCTGAATTATTTCTGAATGCACTGTATGTATATACGTATATATATATATATATATATAAGTATACTAAAGTGTAATTCTTTTCACAACAATCAACTCAATGCCACACAAACAGTGTTTGTCACTTTCATTCCAGTAGGCTTTAAAGGGTTAGTTCACCCAAAAATGAAAATTCTGTCATTAATTTCTCACCCTC